TTTTGAATTCTTAATTTGTTTGCCTACCTTTCTGTCTCCTGGGAATGTACTTCAACGCTCCTGGACCTTTCTCCTTTTTAAAGGCAGCCCATAATTCAGTTGTAGTTTTGATTGAAAATCCTTGATGTCAGTTTAGCTGGCCAGACACGCTGCCACCACTTTGAAATTGTCCCTCCCTCTGCTAATTATTGTTGCATTGGATTGCTTTATATTATTTTTGACAGTCTCCCCCAACCTGCTAATACAATGACCACTTTCATTGATGTTCCCCTGTTGACACTCATACAGTGGTGGAGTCATAGAGATGTACAGCATGGAAATAGAACCTTTGGTCCAACTCAACCGTGCCGACCAGATATCCTAGATAAATCTCGTCCCATTTGCCAGCATTTGGCTCATATCTCTCTAAACCCTTCCTATTCATATACCCATCCAGTTGCCATTTAAATGTTGGCATTATACCAGCTTCCACCACATTTTCTGGCAAATCATTCCATTCACATACCACCCTCTATGTCAAAATGTTGTCCCTTAGGTTCCTTTCAAATCTTTCCCCTCTCACCTTAAACCTATGCCCTCTAGTTTTGAACTACCCCACCCTGGGGAGATGACCTTGTCTACTTACCCAATCCATGCCCCTCATGATTTTATAAACCTCTATAATGTCACCTGTCAGCCTTCAACACTCCAGCAAAAATAGCCCCAGCCTATTCAGCTTCTGCCTCTAGCTCAAAACTTCCAGCCCTGGCAACATCTTTGTAAATCTTTTCTGAACCCTTTCAAGTTTCACAACATCCTTCCCATAGCCAGGAGACCAGAATTGCACACAGTATTTTTAAAGTGGCCTAACCAGTGTCTTTTACAGCCTCAACATAACCTCCCAACTCCTATACTCAATGCACTGACCAATAAAGGCAAGCATACCAAATGCATTCTTCACTATTCTATCTATCTGTGACTCCATTTTCAAGGAACTGTGAACCTGCACTCCAAGCACTGGTGCTATTTCGTTCCCTTCGACTAGATCCCAAAATACCTACTTCCTTGTTAGACTAGAAACATCCCATTCCAGAAAATTCTTCTGAATGCACTTTAGAAATTACTTTCCTCTTCTCAGCCCTATATGTTATTACTGTATTATTTAGATAAATGGAGTCCTATTATGACTATTTATCTCACATTTGTGTCTGTCTATCATTCCAGACATTAAATCTACTCCCAGAGGTGCAATGATACTTCTGTTGCTTTAGATGGATTCTGCCCCTGATTCCTCTAGAAAAATCTCGTTTTGAGACATTTACCAAATCACTGAAAGGCAAAGGGATAGTGGCATGGAGTACCTTTCCTACAAGGTTGGTGAACTGAATGCAAGAAGTGATTTCAAAAATGAGTTGCATAGAGACCTGAAGGAAATGTGTTTGCAGGATTACAAGGATAGAATCAATCCACAAAAATGACTGGATTTCTCCACAGAGAGGTTGTGTGTACTCAATGGGTGAAAAACACTTCTCTTCCATACACTGTGTGATTGGATATATTCTGTTCCACCAACAATTTACACACTAATTTTAAAAGTTGGAATAACCTGATGAATGATCCTTCACCTTTAGTTGGGAGAGCGTGCTTAAATGTTATGCATGGGAGAATGTGATTCACTTCACCCTCCATTTGAAATAGTAGATTCAAATCTGATGAAGGAAGAGCTAGTAGAGGCATGACCATACATGCTTTATCTTCATTAGAAGAATGTGCTGTGTTGTAGGAGTGTTGTACTGAAGACAGGGGACAGAATATGTCTACGGAGTTTTGGTTCAGTCAGCATAACACCAATAAAATTGCTACAAATGAGAGAATAGAAGAATGTCTTGAACTGAAACACAACAATGATTATTCTTCATGGATTCAAAACTTTCACTTGATTAAACTTATTGAATTTTTTGATGTGATAATTGAGAGATTGGGCAATGTTAATGGAGTAATCGTAATGTATCTGTGGATTTTAAAAAGTTTATCTTAGTAGAGTCTGATGACAGAATGAAATGCTAGCTGGCTTCAAGACAGAAGGCAGAAACTTGGAGTATACCATTATGCAGAGTTGCAGAATGTTGAATGTAGTCTTCTGCAGAAAATCATAGCTGGGATCACTGCTTAACATTGACTCACGATAACTGTTTGGACATTTGAAATGAAAAACTCAAGTCATCAATTTCTGTGTGATACCAGGTTGAGGAGGAGGTGCTGTGGTGAAGGTGAATAATTTACAGGAGGACATTAATAAGCTTGAAAAGTGGACAAAGAACTCACAAAATTAGTTCAATGCAAAGAAATGTAGTGTGATGCACCTTGGTTGGAAGAATAGTGTGGTTGGTTGTTGCTTGGAAGACGTGGGTCTAGCTGATGTAGAAGAAGAAAAGGATTCTGGAGTACATATATTCCAATGAATAAATGTATCATAGGTTAGCAAGGCTCTTTTTATTTTAGAAAAATAAACCAAGGACCCAAAACATCAGCTTTCCTGATCCTCTGATGCCGCCTGGCCTGCTGTGTTCATCCAGTTCTACACCATGTTATCTCAGACTCCAGCATCGGCAGTTCCTACTATCTCTGAGTGTATTTTAGCAGTTTTGGCAACATGCAAAAGGATGTAGAGGCATTAGAGAAGGTGCAGGTCATATTTACATAATTGATATTAGAAAGGTGAAGGTGTACATGTCAGGAAAGGAATAACTGTGAAACATGAAAGGGTTCAGAAAAGATTTGCAAGGATGTTGCCAGGGTTGGAGATTTTGAGCTCTAGGGAGACGCTGAATAGGCTGGGGCAACTTTCCCTTGAGAATCGGAGGCTGTGGGGTGACCTATAGAAGTTTACAAAATCATGTGGGGCATGGAAAGGGTGAATAATCAAGGTCTTTTCTCCAGGGGAGGGGAGTCCAAAACTAGAAAGCGTAAGTTTAAGGTGAGAGGGGAAAGATTTTAAAAGAGACCTAAGGAGCATTTTTTTCACGCAGAGCTCTATGGAATGAGCTGCCAGAGGAAGTGGTGGGCTGGTACAATTGCAACATTTCAAAGGCATCTGAATGGGCAGTGTTTAGAGGGATATGGACCAAATGCTGGCAAATGCGACTGGATTAATTTATGATATCTAGTTGGCATGGACAAGTTGGACTGAAGGGTCTGTTTCCATGCTGTACACCTCCGTGACTCTAAAAATAACCTAACAGAGCTGTTTAAAGTTGGAATTCCTGGTGAGAACAGATACAGAGAAAATGTTTCCTCTTGCAGGCAAGTGCATAACTGACAGTCATCAGTATAAGACATTCGCAAATCCAGCAGGGAAATCAGAAGAAATACTCTTACTACAGAATGAGAAGAAATTGGACTTCTCTGTATTAACGAGTGGTTAAAGTGAATACTATCAATGATTTTCAAAAGGGGCTGGATACACATCTGAGGTAGCAGGGAATAATTGGTTACAATAGAATATTTAGTTCTAGAAAGATAGGAAGGAGTTTGAGAGGAGCATCATAGACCTGTTAAGCAAAATGCACTGCATTTGTTTTTATCAGTAGGTATTTTCCCTTCCAGCTCCAGTCTCATTGGATCATTCTCTATTCAACAACGTGGTCTTGTGCTGTTGCCCATTATTTTCTATTGACCAGAATCTTCCCTATCTTCACTGCAGGAGCTGTTCACATGGGCTCAATGTCAGCTAGTGCTTTATCTGTACAAAGTGAGAAAATCATCAAGTCGAGAAGAACAATAGGGCTGGCAAGTGGATGAAAAGTTTTTTTGATCACATTGGGGAGGCCTCAAACATTATCTTTTGTCTAAAGATATGGGCTTGTAGCTGCAAGGTTTTTCTCATTCACAAGTCTGGGTTAATGGTTGCCAACCTTATAGATGTCATTATTTAGATGGGTGCATGTATGGCTATCCTGGGTCAGAAATCAGAAGAGAGAACAATGTGAATTTTTATCCTGCACTCTGAGATAGCTTTTATAAATTATTTTTCCAGGGCTTAGAAAGGCAAGATCTACACAGAGCAAACTTAAATCAATGGAAATGTTCTCTTCTGAATTTCTGTCCGGGATTGACAACGATTATATTTGTAATCTACACCGCCCCCACTCCCCTCCCCTGCCGCTTAAAGTGTGTGTAAAAGTTCTGGTTGAGTTGCAGATGTACATAGTCATCCTCTTTCACCTCCTCCCTTTTTATTTCTCCTCACCTCGAGTCCATGTTCTTGCATTATCTCAGACTGCACAATTGGTTCCTTTTTACGAGATATATTAGTGAAACAGTTAAGTTTTAACAACATCCCAGTGGTTTTCATGCTCAGTTATTTTTCTGGTGATGGGTCACAGATTTCCAGATTAATTCAGATCAATTTATAAACAGTTTTTCTTATTTTAATGTTTACTTATTTTGCATTAATTTCACAGGATATTTGAAAAACATTTGTAGATGGCGACTATAAATCAAGTATCACGTCAAGGTTCAATAGTCAAGCCACGGAGACTTAAATATCTTCAACCTGTGACTATTTGAGCATAAAGCACCATTCACAGTAGAGAGCAATGACACACACATGTTCTGTAAGCAGATGAGACTTCAGCTAAATCATCATGCAAATTAAGACACAAGTACAGTCACAGCAGAGAGCAATGGTATAACTGTTTGATCTATTGGAAAGGTTTCAATGATCTTTTTCAGCTTGGACTAAAAAGCTCGTTTAGTGAGGAGAAGCCGTCCACATTGTGTGAATGGAAAGATGTTCATCTGCCCTTCTGCATTATCAGCAGGTTCACTAAGAGTGATTTTAAATGCTTGAACTGGGAAGTAAGGCTTCCAATGCCCAAAGAAATGTTTTCACTGGCTCCACTCCATTCAGCTGTTCCAAGAAGAGTTTGAGGATATCATCCCAATGGTGGGACACCAGTGAGTTCAAATTTGGAGAGTGATCTGAGCGTAGGGAGGGATTCACTGTTTCATCTCACTTTATGACATACCAGCAAGTTCACACAGAAGAAAGACCTTTTAACTGTTCAGTCTGTGGGAAGTCCTTTAAAAGGTCTGAGGAATTGATGTTGCATCAACTCATTCATGCAGGTGAGAGGCTATTTACCTGCTTTGAGTGTGGGAACGGATTCTCTTGCACATCCCACGTCACTAGACACCATTTTGTTCACACCAATCAGAGACCTTTTAAATGCCTTGCCTGTGACAAGAGCTTTAAAAGTCGAAATGAACTGCTGTCACACCAGCATAATCACACTGAGGATAAACCATTCACCTGCCCTTACTGTGGAAAGGGATTCTGTTGTTCATCCCACTTGCTAACACACCAGCTAATTCACACTGGAGAGAGGCCATTCATCTGCTCGGTGTGCAGGAAGGGGTTCATTCAGTCATGCAACCTGCAGAGACACCAGCTTGCTCACAATGTTGTTGGCAAGCTCAGCACTTGTTGCCCATGAACTATCTGGCTGTCCAGTCTATTTCAGAGGTAAGTTTAGACTCAATCACATTACTGTGGCATATAATTGCATGTAGGCAAGGGTAATCAAGTTCAGTATTAGTGAACCTGTTGAATTTTTAACAAGAATAGTTAGACTAAGTTTGAATTGAATTCAAATTTTACTGTCTCCCATGGGTAAGATTTGAATGCATATTCCAAGGACCTGAATTCCTAGCCTAACAACATTACCACTACCTCTCATCTCGATATTGAAATGTGGAAATTGTGTTTCTTTCAATTGTCTCCAAAGAGTCAACTTGTGGTTATATTTTCATCTATCAAGGACATACATAGAGCTTCATAATTATCATTCAGGCTTCGGTCATTTTCAAAATCTTTATAACATTACCTCATTTCACATTGTGCAATTGACACATTATGTGGGGTCTATGTGGGGTCATTGTTCCTCATTGTGTTGAAATGGGCAGGACCCATTTTCTCTGCTGTCTGAGAAAAGGGTATGGGGTGGGGGTTATGATGAAGGTTTTTTTTCAGGTTCTGGAGAGACTGAGTCTGATAAGTAGCAATGGGGAATCATATTGCTTTAGACTGCAGCATCTGAATTTGTTATCATGTGACCAGCAAGAGTGAATTGAATGATATGAATAGTCAGTCTAACTGCAAATAAGGCAATGACCACCCATTCACCCTGAACATATCATAAGGTGTCCTTATGGCTGCCTTTAGTCAATGTAATTTCTGTGGATTGTTTAAAGAGCTTGACTGTCCCACCAGGCCCTGGCTTATAGATGCTGTGAAAATATTGTTGTCAAACAAATAGTGCTCTCTGTAAAGAGTTAATAAGATTGGTTCCCGTAATTTTTTTAGTGGTCGTGGTTGCATTATTTTTATGGCTTGGAAGGCTTCAATCAACTGGGCAAAACATAGTTATGATGCCCAGGATATAACAATCTTCTTTCATAGTGGGTCTGCATAATCAATTTGCAGTATTCCCAAAGGATGTCTTTCAGCTGGGGTGTACTTACTGGGACTTTTCATGTGGCATGGCCTGGATAGTTCTGGGGACAAATAAGGAGGATTCTGAGAGCTGAAGATCCTTTTGCATCATTGCCTACCAATAATACTTTTGATACATATAGGAGACTAGAGAAATGAAACAAGTTGATCCATTTTTTTTTTCTAGTTTTGGGGAAGATGTGTAAGGAAGGTCTACCTGAAACCGTAACCAGATGACCAATTATGTCATTGAATGGCCTACTCCTGCTCCTCAGCCCCATGTAGGTCGAGTGTGTACTTGTGCTATGAGGGAGAAGGGAAAGTAATTAATGTGGTGTATTGCCTACTTAGCCGGAACCGTATCAGTGTCCTAAGTCAGGTATAATGAGTCTGTCATTCTGGTGTCACTGATTGTAATTTGGGTAGATCCTAAGAAATCCCCTCTGTGGAAGCTTTCCTGTTGAGTTAGTCTGCATGATTATTACTGTCATTCTTTTTGCTAACACCTGACATCAATGTGCCTTTACTAACAAACCATCATTTGCTCTGGACACTGGCGACACTCTCACTTCATTCAAAGTGGTTAGTAAGCCATTTCTTTACACAGTTGAGAAGCTGTGTTTTTACCAGACGTAGGTTTCTCCTGCAGGGATAACAGCCAATGGCAGTCAGAATAGCCAGGAATTTGAAGGTCAGTGAGTGTAGTATTAAATCTATTTACTGGGGTAAATATTATGGTTGGTGTTTAAAAACAAAAGTGCTGAAGTTGCCTTGTTGAATCCAATGTGAAGTGCCAGTGGATATTTTGTTTTAAAAACCAAGACTCATCTGCATTAACCCCCATAGAGTCCAATGGTGATATGTTTAATAGGTCCATTAGGCATGACATTTTCAACGTTAAGTACCTAGTTTTCTTTTGTTCTTCAGCATACCAGGAAATGAATGCTTGTGAAATTACATAATAATATGATTACTTTGTAAATCCATAATGTATCTACTCTATCACTCTCTCTTATTGAAATACTCTCTTAACTTGGTCCTTTATTAACAATGCCAGCTGTGTAGATTGTCTGTAATTATTGGAGTAACTATCACATACTCTGTGTGTTGAAACAGATGGTGAACCTTGATATCTCATTGATACACATGCCCTCTATTGTCTATTGACCAGTGTAAGAAGTATTTCATGAAAGTACCTTTTGTGTTTCTGACACCAATTGTACTACAAGAAATAGACAGATCACGTCACTGTCAGCAGTTGCAGGGCTAATTGGATGGTTCTGGGAGGAGTTTTCCTTCACTTTGAGCAGAGTTTTAAAATATGGGTCTGTCAATTTGTGTGTGAGATTTAAGTTGAAGAGAGATTTATTTTTGCAAAGTGTCTTTTATCTTTAGAATTTTCTTGCCCAGTGACTGGTGCAGATTATACCATTGAATACATCGAGTTAGATGGATATGCAGCCTAAATATTTATGGTCCTTTGTCAATACGAAAATTGCCTATTCATCCTAACTCTCTAATTCCTATTAACTATCCATAATATGCTAGCCCCTACGTCACAAGCACTCATTTTGTGCCATACCTTTTGACATGGCATTCTGTCTAAAGCCTTTTGTACATCAAGATGCACTGCATTGAAATTTGCCCTTTTATCCACCTTGCATGATCATTTCCTCACTGAACTCAAATAAACTAGTTGATCAAGATTTTTATTTCACAGAACTATATTGACTGCATGTAATTGAGGGGACATTCTAAATGGTTGACTGTTACTTCCACAATAATTGATTCTAACATTTTTTCCCACAAGAAATGCTAAATTAACTGGCCTTCAGCTTCCTACTTTCTATCGCTCTCCTTTCAATCATGGTAGTGTTATGTTTACAATTTTACAGTCTGACAAATCTTTTCTGAAACAAAACAGTTTTGTAAGGTCATCATCAATGCATCCATAATCTTTGTAGCTGCTTGTTGTGAAAACCTAGAATTAAGGCCATTAGGACCAATGGACTTGTCAGTTTTTATTTTGAATAGTTTTCAAGTTGTACCTTGAATTTATTTTTAGTTAAGCCTTCCTTTTACCTTTTGATTTGCAAATGTTCTTGGGATGTTTTGTGCATCTTCTACAGTGAAAACAGGCATAAATTAACTGATCAGCATTTTTGTGATTCCCTTGCTTCCCATTTAAAATCCCACAGTTTCATCCTCCAATAGATAAAACCTCGCTTTAGTTGTTTATTCTCTTTATAAATACTTGGAAGAAATTCATACTATCTGCTGTTCTCTTTCTAGCTAATTTTCTCTTATACAATAATTTACTGGTCATTATCAGTTTATAAAATTTCAATCTTCTTCCCAACCATTAATGTTTACAGATTTTTTAAAAAAAATTTAATATTGATATTATTCTTAAGTTCCATACTCAATGTTCCAACCGATGAAGGCAAGCATGCCAAATGCCTTCTTCACCACTCAGTTTATCTGTGATATTGAACTATGTACCTGCACCCCTAGTTTTCACTTTTCAACAACACTCTCCAATGTCCTACTGTTAACTGTGTCAGTCCTGCCCTGGCTTGTCTTACCAAAATGCAACATCTGACATTTATCAAAATTAAACTCCATTTACCAAAACTAAACTCCATTTACCATTCATTTGCCCATTGCACGCAGAGCAGGTGAATAGTTTCTCTCTGTTATGCCCTCCTTTGTGTGTTAGCAGGACTGACAAATTAGTGGATCCCCAATAAATCAGTTAAACATGACTTTCCTTTGGCAAAGCTCTTTTGGCTCTGCCACATTACCTTGAACTTAAAATTAAGTGCCCTGTTATAATGTCTCTAAAAATATACCCTGATGTCATTGTTCTTCAAATGAACACCTCTCCTCAGTATGAACATGTTGATGATTTCCAGCTCAGATGGGTAATTGAATCCTTTACTAGATTCCCTTTTCTTCAGTAGTTTCTTCCAAGTGTTTATTTGTGTCTCAAAAGCTCAGATGACTGTCTGAATCCTCACCCACAGACAGAACATGTCCATGACTTCTGTCTTCTGTGAATTGTGCTTTTTGCTTCCATATTTAAAACCGATGGTATTGAGTTTGTGATGAATTCAGACATTCTGTCAGATCTTAATGTCATGTCTGTATTTAGGTTTCCATGTCCAATCCCTTCGCTTTTAATGCTAAAAAAGGAACTTAAAACATCAAGAGGTCATTAGAGAAAAGCCACAAACACACATTAAAATTCTGTGGTATTAAACTTAATAGTCTAGTCATTCATGGGATCAACCTCTACATGAAAAGAAAAAGAGAAATAAATAAATAGGAGGAGATGAAGATGAATCATGTATATATGCAACTTGACCAGAACTTGACATAACACCAAGAAGCATGAAGAATGAGGACTTCAGGGCATATATTATTAAAAACATGATGACAGGGCACTTAGATAAGCCCAAGGTAATCTGACAGAGCCAAAATAGTTTTGTCAAAGGAAAATTATGTTGAACTAATTTATTGGATTTCTTTGAAGAAGTAGCTGGTGCAGTATATAAAGAAGAATCGTGGATGTATTGTGTTTAGATTTCCAGAAAGCATTTAAGTTACCGCATAGAAGGTAATTGAGGAAAATAGAAAGGTCATAGTATAATGAGTAACATATTGGCACAGTTAGAAGATTGGCTATCAAACAGGAAGTGTAGTGTGGGAATAAATGGATCATTTTTCAAGCTGGAAAGGTGTCAATAGTGGTGTGCTACAGAGGTTGGTCCTGGTTCCTCAATTCTTTACAATTTATGTAAATGATTTGGATGAAAAGATTAAAGGTATCATCTCTAAATTTGTTGATGGTACAAAGATAAGTAGGAAAGTGAATTGTGAATAGGACATCAAGAGCCTAAGAAATAATATTGCTAGGTTAAATGAGTGGGCAAGGATCTGACAAGTAGAATGTCAGATGAAAGTATGAAAGTGAGAAGTTATCTACTTTAGCAGAAAGAA